TAGGGAAGAATCGAATCTACAATCTCAACGAAGCAGGTCGTGAAACGTGGATCATTAACCACTAAGCCTTCTGCTCTCTAGAAACTTCCTAATAGACAAGCTTGACTTTGATTTTCACTCTTCAGAGGTCACCATACGCTTTCAGTCGATAAAGTTTCTGAGCTATACCAGCTGTGAAGGGCTTCGATGATGTCACGAAGAAGTCATCAAGCAGGCGTTCAAACACGCGAAACAGGCAGCGTAACAAAACTGTTTTGAAATCTGGAATTTACCTGACATCATAAGGATTTTCACACAGTATCTCAAAAATCGTCCATGACTGCTTACAAGGCTGACTAGTACAGCACTATAACGCAGTGTATTGAAGGTTCTGCATAAAGTTCTACTTATAAAGCACATAAGTTTGAGTTCGTAAACATTTGGAATTCTTGCAGTAATATGCAAAAAAATGCTATGAAAAACTCGTACATAGTCACAGGCTATATGCTTGAAGCAATGTTTGCTTGCATAAAGAATTCCAAGCATTTCTATATTTGAACAGCAGTAGTAATCACACTCTCGTGGCCTTGCAATTCGCGACAGCGACGAGTGCTCTTCCACATCTATTTGATTCTCGCATAGTTGCCACTGCTTTTTGCTATTAATTTTTTTTCTTAAATCTGGGGCTTCCTTCAAGATTGGCGATGGTGTAACGACATTAGTTTTTAAATAGGCAAAATTGTGCAAGAAGAAATTACTTTAAGGTCTTTTTCTCCTAAGCATGCAGATTTTTAGTATAAGTGAAAAGATTTTCTGTTTTGAACCCACAAAATTCAACATAGTCAAAAAGTTCCATGCGCAATTTTATTTCCAGATGTTTGCCAATTGATTTGCTTTAGTTGGCATGTAGTGTAAGTGCATGTAGACCATCTATTGGCTTTGTCATCCTTTTTATGTTAAAGTTGGGTTGCAAGTCGCTGCAGATGGTTTTGCACTGGTTATTGGAACTGCATATACTACAGTCGTACAAAACGATTCAATATGCGAGTAGTGACTTTAAGGTCAACTCTAGTATTTCTGGATATTCAATCATTTTTTCGGCAATGGAGTGATAACGGAAGTGCTTTGTTAGAACTGACATTCTTTTTGTCCAAGAAAATACCTCAGTTTACAGCAAGATACTGTAAATGGAAGTTTGAAGTAACATAGAATGACTATCCCGTGATAGATTCTCTGAATGAACTTACTTTGTACTAGCGCAGTGGTTATACAGTCAATAGCAGTCACTATTCACTGAAACTCATCCTGATGTGCACTTCTTCCAATTATAAAAACAAATTATGCTTCCCTTTGTCGAGCGCAAGCTGTCAATTCTTAGTTTTCTTCTCCGTTCTTTCTAAGGCAAAACTCAGGAATATGCGTCGATCGGAGATACCCATATTGATACTGCTTATGGTGGCCATCTTCTGTCTCCTCTCCTTTACTGACTACAAGACAGCTATGTCCACACAGGTGCTTCTTCCTTCCTTGATTTCTCTCAAACTCACGGCATCAATAACAAAACTTTTAATCTAGAATATCTTGTAGTATCCCGCGACTAGCGCTGAACCAGATCCGCGTGTGAAGGTGCAGTTCACAGAGTGGAAGTACTGCATGGAAGGGAACATTTCCGCCTATCGCAATGATTCGAAAGCAGTGCGTCGATATGTTGTTTAATTTAATAACTTCCAGCTCACACGTTCTTCATTGTATATAATTCTCCACTTAAGCCCTCGAGGCGAAAACGAAGCAAAATTATG